CCTTATGGGTAGTTAACTACTTAACCTTAGTAGGTGACTCGTATGGTCTAGGAGTCGGCTTATTAGGCTTCCAAACTTAGTATTTTTACAATTAAGTTTTGTAATGAGTCCTTAAAGAACCTAAAAACCTTTTCTAACCTAACTTTTGGATTCTAAAATTTTGGTATAGTGAGATAGGTTTGAATATAGCCCATGTAGTGCGTATTTTTCATTTGGTTTACAACAAATCCTAATAAATGTAGAAGCAAACATTATAGACTCGGAATCATTTGATACTATTTTGTGTCTCAAATCATCAACTCTTTTAGGTTCATTTGATGAATCATCTGATAAAGCTATACACTTATCTTTTAGAACATTAGTACTCTCAATGAGTTTGTTATCATCAAAACACATAGGGTCAACAACATCAAGTTTTTTTTTTTCTTTTTCCTAAAAAAGGTGAGGGTTTAAGGTAGTTCATTACATGCTATATTAATAAAAAAATATTTACAATCACAAAAGAATTGGAATACTTTTTTATTGTAAAGAAAAAAATTGAAACTACTATGGCAAATGGGTTGAAATAGGGGATTGGGATTTGGAAGGGCAAAAGTTATTCAAGAAGGTACTTACTAGACCATGTTTGGTTATTTACCAAAAAAAAAGACTATGTTTAGTTTGATAGAAAAGAAAAAATAAAGAAAATAGGAAGTTGAGGAGAAAAGTTGTTAACAAATCTTGTGAAATTACTTAACAACTTTCCCTCAAATTTCTATTTCCAGTAGAATTCTATTCATACTATCTATCCAAACACAACCTTGATGATTGAACTAATTATGTCTATCTAAATTTACCCATAACCAATTTAGGTGTTCTATAACATCAATGTTTTTGTTTTCATTTGTTTTTGAAATCACCACATTAGTAATAAACAAAAACATATTATTGAAGTTTGTTTTTGTTTTGAAAGGTAAAAAAAACAAATTGGCTTTATTTCAAAAAACAATAGATGTTTTTAAAACCATCAAAATGATGTTTTTTAAAGGATAAATTTCTTAAACTACCCATACTATTTAGCTAATTGACAAATTGTACCCTTACTATTTAACTATTGTCTTAAGCCACCCTTATTGTTTCTAACAATTAACTAACTCTATACTTTTTTTTAAAACCCAATGTTACCCTTTGTCCCTCTTTTCAATAGTTGATTGTAAATCTTGGGGGCTGAACTGTGATTAGGCACAGTGGTAGGGTTTGCGACCAATACATCATCCGAGAAGCAAAGGAGTACCCCCTCCACCTCTGACCTCTCTCTCTCTCTCTCTCTCTCTCTGTCCTTCCCCTTCATCCCTCTTTTCAACAGTTGGTTGTAAATCTTGAATCTACACTCGAACATTCAGTGGGTGTTTCTTCTCCTTTTCTAAAAACCAGTAGCAATGGTGTTTGGGGGTTGAACAGTGATTAGGCACAGGTGGCGGGGTTTGAGGCTGGTACATCATCCGAGAAGTAGAGGAATACCCCTCCACCTCCTCTCTCTCTCTTTCTCTCTCTCTCTCCTTCTTCCCCTTTGTTTTCTCATTCCCTTCCCTTGTTGTTGTGAACTATTTGGAGATGAGAGGATGTTTGACCATGGAGGTATGAGATGGCTTGGTCCAGTTGGTACGCAATGGACATGCAAGTCTTCCACGGAAGCAAAGACTCTCCATGATCATGTAGTTTCTCCTACAAGCTTCTATTTGGAACATACAACCATAGTCACAACCACCTGTTCGTCCCTTCAATACCATCTTGCTTCTGACTACTCATCATGGTGATGTTTCTCTCCCTCTCTCTACTCATCCCTCATGGACTTCTCTCGTAACACCTGAGAGAAGAAAGAATTCTCTGCTCCCTTTACAAGAACTTAGACTGCGAGAACTCAAACTACAAGAACTCGAATCTTCAAGCTTCAAGAATCATCCCCCGTAGAGTACATCCAATTTCTCTTCTTATTCAAAAGCATTTGGCTCTTGAATGCCTTGGAGGTTGGCTTCCGTTTTCCTATTCTAGCCACAGGAGAACCATCTAACAAGAACCCATTGAGGTCTGGATTAACCCTTACAATTTCCCGGCCAAAAAGTTCCTCGGAATGGTTTGAAGGAACCGAAAGTTTTTTCCCTTTCCATTAATTTTTGACGAAACTTTGCAACAGTTCATGAAATTGCTTTACAACATAAAAGAAAAAAAAAACATAAAACATTCAGAGTTTCCTTGAGAAATTTTCCAAGGTAGGGAAGAGCAATTGAGAAAGTCAACAATGAAAGGCCCAAAACCTCTAATCACTACGCAACAAAACAATCAATTTTTGATTAGTTTCTTTTCTCTCCTAGGAAATATAAAATTCCCAAATTTGTGAAGGAGGACAATCCGGGTAGAGATTGAAAGCTCAGGAACATGTTTTGGTCCTTTCAAAAACTAAGGGAAGAAGAAGATTGACCCCTTCCCTTTTGGTCTCCCATATGATATCAAGGCTTTTTTTTTGTTTCTTCTGCAATAAGGAACTGATGTTTGGAGTCTGGCTCAGAAAGGTTGAAGATGAGTGAGGAGGGCTTGAGTGGCACAAGCTTTCCTTTGAAGAAGAAATCATCAAAAGGGGAGAAGGAGAGGTTCGAGTATGCTCGATCGTCACTGGAGGTAGAAGATAACATGAAGTTGAAGTCCCTCTCTCCATCGTTTGCTACTGAGTTACTATCATCTTTGTTGCCATCTCCATTACTATTGTCATCTTCCATGGTTGGGAGAGCCAGAGCAAAACAAGAGGTAATGACCAGAGTGTTTGGTTGGGTTTTAGGGATTGAGAAAGAACTGGTTCTATTTAATGGTGGCATGGCAAAGAAACCTTTTTCGTGTCTTCACTTTTCACGGAGAGATTGACACAAGAAAAAGAAGCTCGAAGAGATTGATGAAATGAGTTTTATTTTGAAAATTTGAGAAATAGTAAAGGATAAATTTGACATTTTGTTTTTTCATTAGCATTTAAGGATGATGACAATTGTTAGAAATAGTAGAGGTACTTTAAGATAATATATAAAGAGTAGGGGTAGAGTTAGTCAATTAGCTAAATAGTAGGGGTAGTTTAAGAAATTTGTCCTTTTTTAAAACAAAATCAAATTTTGTAATGTAATTATTATTGTAGAAAATAGGAGTATAAATCAATTAAACAATAAATTTTCTATAAATCAAATGTCAAACAACCAATAAAACATAAACCCAAATCAATAGATAAGTTGAGACATAATACAAAGTTGTGACTAGGGATGACAAGTTTCCCCATTTCCTCGATCCCTGTGGGGATCCGCCCCGAATGGGGTGGGGATGGAGATGATTTTCCCCACGTGGGGACCAGGATGGGGAAATTTTCATCCCCACTAGCGGGGATGGGGAGAGCACTCCCTGCCCCGAAGGGGCCCCGATCCCCGCCCCGTGGGATCCCCACTAATATATATGTATACGTTATATATGTATATATGTACACATACATCTATATATTAATATTTTTAAAAATATGGTTGAATATGTTTTAAACTTTTCTAATAGGATTATAAATTTTAATTATTATTTTTTAAATAAAATAAAATGGTTAACATTATAAAAAATCACAGGGAATGGGGATTCCCGTAGGGAACGGGGACGGGGATAACCTTGTCCTCGTTAGCGGGGACGGGGATGGGGATTTTCATGGGGACAGGGATGGGGAGAGGCTCCCGGTCCCCACCCCGCCCAGTTGCCATTCCTAGTTGTGACAATTTAAGCCCCAGGTGTGAAATCGCAGGTTTCCAAACTTTATAGATAACAAATTTCGCAGCACTAAATGTGTGACAATAAATCAGAGGTGTAAAATAGAAGTAGGTTTAATGGTGCATGGACTCTAATATAGGAGTAGGTTCAATAAGAAACACTTCTCATGGAATAAAAATTGAACCTTTAGTGTGTTCGTTTGGTATCACTTATTTCAAATACCTAATTCGAATAAGTACTTAAAATAAGTGGTGGGACCGTACAAAAATAAGTGCTGAGAAAACAAGTGGGCCTTTGGTTGCTTATTTTAAGTATTTAAAAAATAAGTGCTTATTTATTTTTTTTGGTTGGGACAAGAGTGTCTTAAAAATTTCAAAATGCCAACACTACCCCTACAAATGAAGAAAACCCTATCATCTTCTCCATTCGCACAAGGGCATTCCGTGAATGCTATTATTTTTATTTTTTAATATTTATGTGTTATTATTATATTATTAATATTGTTAATAGTGCCACGTGTGTGCCATGTGAGTTCGTGTGTAGTTCCATGTGGTACCATGTGTGTCTTGAGGGGTAGTGTTGTTGTTTTCATGGAAATAGTTTAATATAATATTTAGAAAACAACATTTATGCACATTATATTTGTAAAAAAGGGGTTAAAAATGTCATTTATGCGAAAATAAGTACTTATTGGTTAAATAGTTCACCTAACAATATAACCCCAATAAGTACTTAAAACAAGTATAAAGGGTTTAGGAAAAGATCCTCCAAAAAACAATAAATATTAAAAATATAAATACTTATTTATAAAATAAGTACTTATTTCTCAAATCACTTATTCATCAAATTAATAGTTTGTACTTGGGGCCTAATCTCACTTTAGTCCACAAACCTCAAAACGTATTAATCCAGTATATAAACTTTAAAAACGTGACACACGGATACTCAAAGAAACACACAAAACACATCTCGTTGACTTATCATTTGATTGATTGGTTCATCCCGATTTGGACACGGTTGAAAACGAGTTGAACGAGTCACCGGGTCACCGACTCGGTGTCCGAGGCAACTCATTTCCAGAACCACCCACCACGAGTTCACCACGTCCAAATGAGTTATGATAGTACCCCTCTGCTTTCCAAATTCCAATTCCGGAGATACGGAGACAACTCAGACAAGAACAAGCTAAATAAATTATTTTTTTTTAAAATTTTTTAATTACAAAAGAAAAGAAACAGAAACTCGTTTCCTCTAGTGTGTGGTAGCTGACTGGCTGGCTCTAGAGAGAGAAAAGTTTGTTTGTTGCATCTCTCTTTCTCTCTCCCCTCCTCAGAGGAGAGGACACTTGCTTCCATGACTAAACTGCCGCGTCTTCTCCGTCGACAAAACCGAAGCTAGAAACTCCAGACTCTCTCTCTCTCTCTCCTCTTCTTCTGCTATATATTTATATATGCATTTCCCAATTCATTCTTACATCAAACAAGGGACACTTGTTTGAGTCTGGTTGTTATTCTTCGGAAATGGCTCCCATCAAGTTCAAGCAATCTCCGACCTCAGCGGCTCAAACCCTAGCGGGATCTCCGGACGCGCGGCTTCTCGTCCGGGAGACAATTCGCATAAGCGCCAACCTCGCTTCTGCGCCGGCGTCGTCTGCTTCTGCTTCCTGCTCTCCTTCTACCTCCGGCTCGTCGCCTCCGTCTTTGGTTGCGGCCGAGAGCCGGGACCTGAGGACAGCCGTGAATTTTGGGTTTGTTGAGGAGGAGTTTATCGATTCCAGCTTGAGAGTTATTTGCCGGGAGGTGGTCGATGGCCGCCGGTGGAAGTATGTCGTCGAGAGGGATGGTCCTGGGAGTTTCAAGAAGGGTTCTATTCGTACTGTAAGCTTGGAGACTCCCCAGGATCCCCTCAATGTGAGTTCCGGAAGCTCCCAAATGCAATTTCTGGTTCTGCACGAGAAATTCGACTTCTTAGTTTAATTATCTTTCTGATTTTTTTTTCGTTATTTTTCTCTTATTTTTGAAAGTTTAATTGCTCATTCCTGCTATGATTAATTGTTCTTGACTGTGTAAGGTAAGACTTGTGTGACATTTCTTTTTCCTGTATGGTATTAATGAATCAGATATAATAATCCTTGATTTAGAAAATTAGTTATGCAATAATCCTTGATTTAGAAAATTGATAAATTGATTTTAGTTTCTTCGGATTTGTGAAAGGTTTTTTCCCCCTTCACAAAGGAGGAAATTTTATCATTTAAATTCGGTAATACTCTTCTTTTTTGTTTAATTTTCTATTTTAGCGTTTACATATTTGCAATGCCATCATAATAGAAGTGATTCCGAAATGGTTCTGTTGGTTTCAAAGTCCGAGTCAGCCACATCATTTGGAAGTTTGCATACTGAAAGTCAATCCAGTTAACTGGCTTCACCCCCCAAATTTCTCTTATAAAAGTAGATTTAAAGTTGGTAATTGAGCTGTCAAGGCTGTCTTGACCAGCTTATTTCATATCTTTCTTTCAATTTTTTAACACTGAAACAAACCAGGAAAGTGCGGAAAGCTATATTTTGTAGGTGCTTATTTTTTATTTTTTTTCTTGAATGAAGTTAATCTAATGTTTTTTATTCAAAATTTATATTTAACGCAAACTTTGATAGTGTTACCCATTAAAAACAATAGCAAGTATCCAGTAGTTTTACCAATGAAAAGAAGACTTACTAAGAAAGAAAAAAAGACGTAGCAAATTACATCTTGTTTCTTAGATCCAAATTAGGACTATAATCAATGACAATTGACTGAAAACTTTTGTATTCTAGAAATGAAATTAGAAAGTATATCTGAAATTTTGGCTTAAACTAAAGCAATGAACTCTCTGAATCTCAATCTTACTGAAAGGGAGACTTTCAAATGCTTGAAAGACACTTAAGAAAAAAAAAAAAACTAAAATAACAGAACATGGGAGAAGCTCCTGGAACTCAAAGAACACGAACCACAAAGTAATTTGAAATAAATCTTGAGCAGCTAGACCTGGTGCCTTGTAGTTCATAGAGGGTAAATAACTTTAGCCTAACGGCTTGGCAAGATGTATGGTTATGTACTAGTCCATTCCATGGTACGGACAGATCGGTTGTTGGCAGTGACACCAACCTGGTCATCAGATGGCTGAGTGGTTTGTGTATAGGATGTCGGCAGATCTCACATGCAACTAGAGAAATTTGCCTCCAGGATGGACATCTGTTTCTCTTGGGCTCCTAGATTAGTCAACTCTCTAGCTGACTCTTTTTCTAAAGGTGGGATCTCAAGGGATTTATATGGTTTGAATATAATAATCCCTTGTAGTTTTCTGCTTTAATTTGGCTTCCCTTTTCTTAAATATCTGTCTCTTTACACATTTTTCCTCCTCTTTTAACGGTTTCTTTGTATCATTATGGATTAGAAGTGTAACCAGATACTGTTTCCTGTAGACCTGTATGTCTCTATATATTAGTTCTGGGATGAATTGGTATTTATTCTAATGTTGTTTTGTTAGGAAAAATATTTCATGATATATCACAACCAACTAGATATTGCTCTCTGGTTTTGTCTTTGGTAATCTATAACTATTACATAGTTTAGTGTGTTGTGTGCTGTTTATGGTGACTTACAATTATGATATTGTAAGTTTCTTTCCCATAAAAAATAAGGGTCAAATCTAATTTTTCATGCATATTGTCAAAAGAAATTCTCACACCTCGATGAAACAATTTATGGATGTCAAACACTTTACTTATCCACTCTGAAATCCAATGTGGCTTTTGTTTCACATCTACTGTACGTACTGACATTACCTTTAACTTGTTAGTCTTATTCTTTGTTATGATGGAGATTGTTGGTTAACTAGCTTATTGTTTATCTTTTCCTAGATTTGAAATTGTTGACTGTTCCCTTAGACTGTGTTTGGTTTGAAGGAAAAAGTAGGGAAAGGAAAGGAAAGGTAAGGAAACCTTTACAAACATTGTATGGGTTTCCCTACCTTTCCTTTCCTTTCCCCACCTTTTCCCTCAAACCAAACATAGCCTTATTGTCTGTGCTCTATAGTATTTTTTTTTTTTTTATTTCTAAAAGGTATATGAGAATATTTACTCGTTCTATTCTCCATCCTGATTACTACTTTAGCCTTTTCTTTAATATAGCAAGGTTCATGTTGGATTTGGAAGGTAAAACTTGTCTGAATGAAGGTTTGTTTAACTTTTGCTACAGGAATTGATGTCATTTATAAGATCCTATGTGGTGCCTGAAGGTTTCCCCGACAGTGTCACTCCTTCATATGTTCCATATATGTCGTGGAGAGCTCTGAAGGTTCTCTCTCTTTCTCTCTCTCTCTCTCCTTCTCTCTTCCCTTCTCTTTCTACCTACATTTGGTTGATATATCTATGGTTGTATATGAAAATAAGAGATGCATTAAACTGTTACTTATCAAGAGGAGACAAAGTGGATGCTAAGGGAATTAGATATATAGCTAGAATATTATGACCTATGCATTAATTCCCGTCGTTGTTTTAAAATGTGGAGGTGTGACATGATATGTTTCACCATTCTATGGTGTGAGGCATAAACCAGAATGCAAAAGGCATAAACCTTTGAGCCTGGATTTTTTAATCAATAATTAAAAACAAATAAATAGATAAGCAAAAATAGTAAACATCCCAAAAAATTGGAAAGATTATGAGAAGTTAGAAAATTTCATATTTGCAACTTCTAATAATAAAACCATCACATTTAAATATAAAATTGAAGTATCACCATATGAAGTGTCATAATTGCTAATTATACAAGTATCATTAGCTAGCAATAGATCACTTTCAAAATAGCAAATTTAAATTTCAGAATTAACAATTCATAGGAAGTACATAATATTAACATGAACAAGTGTGTCATCTCATATTCAAATGACCGTAAAGCATTGAAAGTAATCAAAGCAATGTTGCCCGGCACTTCTGTTTATAATATTTTATTATAAACTAGTAAATGTGCATGTGCATTGCATGTGGCAGTTTCAATGTCCTAGTAATAATAATCATTTCAATGCCCTTATCAGAACCCATGTCAGATGTCACAAAGACAAGTAATCAAAGCATGGTTTACTGGTGGATATATTGTCTTTACCCGAAGACCTAGCTTCAATTCTTCCTTGTAGTTTATATCAACGTTTTCAATATGTGGTTGAACTAAACAGTTAAACTGTTTGACTTGTCACCTGGACAAATTTCTGAGTGTTTCATCACAAACCACTTTGTTGCAAAAAACTGTTGACTTGGTCTACAGTTAGATGACCTGATTGGTTGAATTCTTGACCTATTTGACATGGTTAATGGGCCATGAGCAAGACATTAATTCTCTTTTGGGTCATATTAACTTGTGAGGATCATAGGGTATAGGAAAACCTTGGCCTCTCATTTCAAGGGAGCTGTTAGAGTCGGCTAAGGAAGGGTATTTCAGTCTTTTCATAATCTGTTTAAGTATTATGTTAGTTACATATCCCATATATAGTTGGCTGGGAGAGTCTTTTTGACTTCTCAGTTTGACACTTCTTTCTTCTCTCTTTCTCTCCTTCTCTCTTTCTCTCTTCTCTATCTCTAAAACTAGTTCGACTGATCTATTTTCACAAGGTATCAGAGCGCCGCTAAAAGGAGAAAGGGAGACTACAGCTTTATTCGATCAGATCCTCTTTCCTCTTTCTTTCTTTTATTTTTTTTCTTCTGGTCTGCGCAATCTGGAGTAAGTGTGGGAGAATGCTGTGGCAATTCCCAGAGGTCTGCGGCAACCTATTCAGGTGTTCCTAGGGTTACGGTGGCCTAGTTACAGGTGAAAGGGGAGTGTGGCAGCCCTAGTAGAAGATTTCTGGACTGCTGACCTGCTGTAGCCGTGCGTGACAGCCTTGGTGGTCATGTGGTTGTAGTTGTGGTGGTCTGAACCCTCTATTGAGCAGTTTCAAGAGGAATATTTTTTTTTGGTGGTTATGAAATCGTATGTTAACAGAAGTGGCTGAATGTATGCTCAGGTAGTATCATGGTGATTGGATGAGGAGATGCTGTACAGTAGCGAGTGTGTTGCTGTAGTACTCAAAGAAGAATAGTCGAAGTGTTTGGGACTGATAATTTTTTTTTTCTTGGATGGGCAGAACCAGTTTCATCGATTGAAATGGTGTCAACGGGAGATGTTAGTGGTGACTAGAAATCGAGTGTGATGATTTCCTCTAATTTTTTAAGTGTGCAGATGACATCCATCAAACTCAACGGTGAAAACTATGTTCCATGGGTTAAGTCGGTGGAAGTGTTTCTTAAAGCTAAGAAGAAAGCAAAACATGTGCGGGAGGAGAAACCTACTGCTGAATCTCCAGGTTTCAGTGATTGAGAGCAAGAGGATGCTCAAATCATGACGTGGTTGTGGAATAGTATGAAACCTAAAATCAGTGTTAATTTCATGTTCTTAGACACAACAAAGGAAATATGGGAGCATGCTAAGAAACTCTATTCTGGACAAGACAATACTATGAGAGTTTATTAGATTTATCAGGAGTACTTTAGCTTGCAGCAGGGAAATCAGAGCCTTGAAGAATATTATGCCAGTATGAGAAATCTTCGGAATGAACTTAATGTCTACCATCCCTTAACTCCGGATGTCAAAATTCAGCAACAACAAAGGGAGCAACTTGATGTTACTCGGTTCTTAGTAGGGCTGAAATCAGAGTATGAGCTTGTCAGAGCACAGGTATTAGGTGGATCTGCCCTCCCCACTCTTGAGTAAGTGTTTGCCCATCTCCGTAGGATTTCTCTTGGTCCCACAGAGAGTACCATACCTCCTGACAGATTAGCACTTGTTGGGACACAAGGGGGAGCTTATGGAAACAGAGGAGGTGGTCGTATAGTTCGGGGGGGGGCGTGGTAACCCTATGTTTGGTCGTAGTAATGGTAATGGTGGAGGTCGTGATTCAGGGGGAGGCTGTGGCAAAGGAAGAGGAAGCACTACTAGGAAATGTACACACTGTGGAAGAGACAAACACAAAGTTAACTTTTGTTATGATCTACATGGGCCACTCTCCACATAGGCTAGTCATGCAGTTGTTGGTGGCAGTGAAGTCAGTGATAATCAGCTAGTTGATCCAACACCTTCTACAACCACAACTACTTTTGGGAAGGAGATGATGAGTATTCTAAGAGATGAGTATAAGTGATTCCTTCAGGCTACTTCACATCAGAATATTGCCACCCTTGCTCATTCAGGTATGGCTTGCCTAGCATCAAAACCTTCCCCCTAGATAATTGACTTTGGAGCCTTTGATCACATGACTAGGACTCCGGGTGTGTTTTCCTTTCTCAGACCTCTACATCACATAATGTTACCCTAGCCAATGGTTCTACTTTCCCCATTTATGGTGTCGGTAATGTTGACACTGCAACTCTTTCTTTGTCTTCTGTTTTATATGTACCAAAGTTTCCTTTTAATCTTATGTTTGTTAGTAAACTAAGTCACTCAATTGTTCTATCACTTTTTACTTTTTCTCTTGTGTTTTTTAGGATCTCAAGACGGGGAGGAAGATTGGTGGAGGGCATGAAGCTGGTGGATTGTATTACGTTGACGGTGGTGGCTCTACAGTTGCACTTCAAACTTCTTTGACTCCTCTCCATTGGCATTGTAGACTTGGTCATTCATCTCTTAAAGCTTTTAAGCTACTTGTTCCGTCATTGAGTCGTCTATCTTCTTTGTAGTCTGAGTTGTGTCAATATGGGAAACACCATCGGTAGATATGGCAATGGGGCGGGGCAGGGACGGGGAGCCTTTCCCCATCCCCATCCCCATCCCCATCCCCGCTAACAGGGACAATATTATCCCCATCCCTGTCCCCACTGGGATCCCCACTGGGATCCCCACTCCCCGTGATTTTTTATAATGTCAACCATTTTTTTTTGTTTTTTATTTTATTTAAAAAAATAAAAATAAAATAATTAAAAATTACAATCATATTAGAAAAGATTCAAACATATTCAAGCATATTTTTAAAAATATTAATATATAGACGCATGTATAGATATATACATATATAAATGTATGTGTACATATATACATATATGAGTGGGGATCCCATGGGGCGGGGAGTGCTCTCCCCGTCCCTGCCCCATCCCCGCCAACGGGGATGAAAATTTTCCCATCCCCGTCCCCCCATTCGGGGCGAATCCCCACGGGGGTCGAGGAAATGAGGAAAATTGCCATCCCTAACCATCGGGTTTCCTTCAGTCGTAGAGTTGATAATCACATATTAAGTCCTTTTGCTTTGGTTCATTCAGATATTTGGGGTCCAATTAGAATTGACTCCTATAATGGTTACTAGTATTTTGTTATTTTTGTTGATGACTGTTCAAGAATGACATGGATTTATTTAATGGAAGAAATGAGTGAATTATTTTACATTTTCCAAAAGTTTCATGTTGAAGTTCGTACACAATTTGGTGTTTCAATTAAAATTCTCCGTTCAGATAATGGCAGAGAGTATTTCCTTACTTCATTTTAGCAGTATTTGGAACAACATGGCATTATTCATCAGACATCCTGCGCAAACACTCCTCAACAAAATAGGGTGGCTGAGAGGAAGAACCGACATCTACTTGAAATATCTTGGGTGTGTGTGCAAACACTCCTCAACAACCGCTTGTTTTCTCATTAATCGCATGCCCTTGTTCATTCTTGACAGTCGTTCTCCATTCTTTATCTTGTTTCCCGTCTTGTCTCCATATCCCTTGACTCCCATGATCTTCGGGTGTGTGTGCTTTGTTCAGAATCTTGGATCTAGTCTAGACAAGTTAGATGCACGCTCCATTAAGTGTATCTTTCTTGATTATTCTAGGACTCAGAAAGGGTACAAATGCTACAACCCCATTACTTGGAAGTCATTTGCCTGTCCTGATGTTACATTCTTTGAGTCTGTGCTGTACTTCTCCAGCACTGATATTTCTCTTTCTCTCAAAGTGGTTCTTCTTCCTCTTCCAGTTGATAATCCTATTCCTGTTGTTCCCGTTGTGATAGAGTCTCCACCTCCTCCAATGCAGGATCGTACTGAAAGGCTACCAATTTGTCAAGTGTATACTCACCGACAAAGACCAGCACCTCCTCCATCTTCTACTCCGTTTGTAGATCCAGTTTCTTCTACACCCGAGTTGCCTTCTGACCTTGACCTTCCTATTGCATTGCGGAAAGGTAAGCATAGTTGCACTTTGCACCTCATATCTAATTATGTTTTTGTGTCTCATCTTTCCACTTCCCATTGCCAGTTTGTTTCTCTGTTATCCTCTGTGTCTACACCTAAGGATGTCTAGGAGGCTCTTACCTCACCAGGGTGGCATAAAGCTATGGAAGAGGAATTCTCTTCCCTTAATCACAATCATACATGGGAACTCACTAATCTTCCCCCAGGTAAGCATGTTGTTGGTTGTAAATGGGTGTATACTGTTAACTATCTACCAGATGGGAGAGTGGAACGGTTGAAGGCCTGTTTAGTTGCCAAAGGGTATTCTCAACTTTATGGTATAGATTATGTGGAAACCTTTTCCCCTGTTGCTAAGATTGGCTTAGTACATGTGTTGATTTCCTTAGCAGTCATGAATGATTGGCCTCTATTAAAGCTCGATATTAAAAATGCCTTCCTGCATGGTTATCTTCTAGAGGAAGTGTATATAGAGAAACCACTAGGGTTTGTTGCTCAGGGGGAGGATGGTTGGTAAGGTGTGTAAGCTCAATAAGGCAATCTATGGGCTCAAACAGCCTCCTCGTGCTTGGTTTGGAAAATTTAGTGAAGTAGTGAAAGAATTCGGAATGAGACAATGCCAAGTTGACCACTCCGTGTTTAGTTATGATTTTGAACCTGGGAAGATCTTACTAGTGGTTTATGTGGATGACATAGTCATCACTGGCAGTGATAGACTTGGGATTGATAGACTGAAGGTCTTTCTACAAGATCACTTTCAGACAAAAGATATTGGGAAGTTGAAGTATTTCTTGGGTATAGAAGTTGCTAGATCGAAGCAAGGCATAAATCTATGTCAGAGGAAATATGTTTTTGATCTATTGGAAGAAACAAGACTATTAGGTGCTAAGCCAACTGAAACTCCCATGGAACCGAATGTGAAGTTGGGCAGTGATATAGGTGAATTATTTGATGATCCCGGAAGGTATAGAAGGCTAGTGGGAAAATTGATTTACTTAATTATTACTAGACCAGATATCTCATTTTCTGTCAGTGTGGTAAGCCAATTTATGCAAAGCCCTCGAGTTCTTCATTGGGATGCAGTTCTTAGAATTGTGTGGTATTTGAAGGGAGCTCTAGGTCGTGGGTTACTGTACAATCTAGGAGGTAATCTTGAAATAATTGGCTATACAGATGTGGATTGGGTAGGCTTAGTATCTGATAGGAGATCCTCTATAGGTTATTGCACCTTTCTTGGAGGAAATCTAGTGACATGGAAGAGCAAGAAGCAAACTGTTGTAGCAAGGAGTAGTGTAGAAGCAGAATACAGGGCCATGGCACACATTGCATGTGAACTAGTGTGGTTGAAAAATATTTTGCAAGAAATCGGGTTCTCAATAAGCAAACCCATGAATCTATACTGTGACAACCAAGCTGCAATTCACATCTCATCCAATCCAGTTTTTCATGAGAGGACTAAGCACATAGAGGTAGATTGCCGTTTTGTAAGGGAAAAAGTCCTTAACGGTGTCATAAGTACAGAGCATGTGAGAACAAGTGATCAGTGGGCAAACCTATTCACAAAAGGGTTGAGTTCGGGAAGAGTGAGCTATATATGTAACAAGCTGTGACTATATGATATATATTCTCCATCTTGAGGGGGAGTGTTAGAGTCGGCTAAGGAAGGGTATTTCAGTCTTTTCATCATCTGTTTAAGTATTATGCTAGTTACATGTCCCATACTTAAGTAGGGGCATATTTGACTTTGTACATTGTTTATGATATATATATAGTCGGTTGGGAGAGTCTTTTTGACTTCTCAATTCGACACTTCTTTCTCCTCTCTTCTTTTTTCTCTCCTTCTCTCTTTCTCTCTTCTCTATCTCTAAAACTAGTTCGACTGATCTATTTTCATAGGAGCTAAGGTCATTAAGTGGGACTTTGGTAATAAAATGGCATGCTTGCCAATTCAAGGGGGGTGGTTGTGTGGTCACAATTCGTTCTCATAACATAAAGTCTACATTGTTTTCTACATACTAGCATTTGCCTTCTCTTTCTCTCTCTCTCTCTCTCTCTATATATATATATATCGATCAATAACAATTTCATTAAATTTCATTGAAACAACATAAGAATAATTACAACAAGGAAGACAAACACTCTTGTCTTCCAAATACAACTTAAGCCCTCAAGAAAAGAAAAGAAAAGGAAAGGAAGGAACATTGATTCCCTTTCTACCCGTTGTTTAGCTAATCCATTAGCTACAGAATTAGCTGATCTTTTAACCCAACTCATCTTAACTTCCATCTCCCGCACCAACCACTTAAATTTCCTCCTCTCATTGCTGTAATTCCATAAACCACTGTTGTCTTTATTTAGCCACCCTATCACCACCTCCGAGTCCCCTTCAATTATGAGTTTTCTGATATTCATCTCCTTACCTTTTTGGACTCCTTCTATAACTGCCAAGATCTCTGCTCTAAGGGAGTCACTCACTCCAATTGGGCTTGAGAACAAGGCAGAAATGATTCCATTCTCATCCCTAAGCCTTATCCTAATTATATGGGGTCGACTACATGAATCCAAGCATTTGCCATCATCAATAACAATAATTCTCATTTGACACATTTTTTTTTACTATTATGAATACATAATATAAAAGAATTCTCATTTCTTTTACATATTATATATATATTATAAATTTTCTATTTTTATTTTTAATTTATCATATAACAAGTTGACTTGTTAACCTAAGGGATATGTGGTTTCACTTGGTTTTTAGAATATTAATTTTTTTATGTGTTTTTTTATCTTGTGGTCAAATTAACCATTGGGACTAATTTGACCCATCACAAGCAAATTCCTTGCCAACAAAAAAAAAAGTTGACTTGGTTAACAACATGGTGGCCTAGCTAGTTGAACCATTGAACCTTTTTGACTTAGTGGTGTCATGGCATCATGGGTTAAACATTAACTTTCTTTTTTCCTGATTTTTTGTATTCCATTTCCATCATTAATAAAAATAATTATGTTTTTTTGATTTCTCATTAATAAAAATAATTCTATTTTTGTCGATAAAAAAAATCTTATTTTTTACACTTATTTTGTTTAATATGATGAATATATAATACTAGAGACGTACACTTTTTCACTCAACCCCTTGCTTGGTAGTATAGACACATCTTAAGAGAAATCAATGAGCTCAAAAGAAACTGAGTAGCAGCAGTCCAATGGGTGTACAGATCTGCAAATGGATTGGCAAATAGGTTTACAAAGCAAGGGCTCGAGAGAGAAAATCTGATTTGGGGGATGGGTTTGTAATCCGTTGTAATCATGGGAAAGTGGAAAGGGGTGATAGTTTGTGGATGGTTTACCTTTGGGTATCAGTCCTAAGATTCTCAACCTCTAGGATGACCGACTTCTTATAACATCTTGTTCTATTTGGTAATAAAATTGTTTCTGTAATATTAGAGATGTGCCCAAATTTTTACAAAATTTCTGTATTTTTTTGTATTTTCATCTATTTTGAATATTTTATTTTTATTATTTAATTATGGTATCTTGGTTGACCCATTTGACCCTTATATGGGTGAACTGCTTATTTGTTTCCTGGATGGAAAAATATTATCATTTCTGGGTCAATTTTAAATATATATGTTTTATGCCATTAAAGTTATTAGGTATAGATTTAATTAGTGAATTCAACGGTGAGAAACAAAAACACCTTAAATATAGGATTTAATGAGAGAGAAAGGGAGTTAATACATTAAATATAGGATTTAATGAAAGGGAATAGAATGAATTGAAAAGTAGTATTTCAAATTACATTTTCTGTCTCCACAATAAAGAGGGATGAAATTCAAAAAATAGGGCTATTTCAGTCAAGAAAAAGTCCAGAAACACAAGGTCCATTCCAGTTTTTATAGTAGAAGGTTTTCCATCTTTGTACTATGTTAATATGTATGAAATGGTATCCCCACTTCTATCTATAGTATTTTCTTATAAAATATTGGCTTAAAAGATATGAGCATATGAGGTGTATGCCTCCTGCATAAATCACAAAAGAGTATGCCTTTCTAAGTGCCTCAAGGCTAGAGGGAATGCCTCTAGTGTGTTTGCACCTCTTCTGTACACCTCCATGTGTTTTCTTAGCACCTTGCCCGGAGGCACTATACCTCCAGTACCTTTTGAAACAGTGATTTCCATTAGCAGTTTCTCTTTATTTTTATGTTTTGTCATTTGCTTCATTCTGTCTGTAGTGATGACAATTTTGTTCCTTGCAGCACTTCTTTGGAGGAGCAATGGGTGTTTTCACAACACAGACGCTGTTGAGTTCAGTTGGAGTTTCTAGAAATCGAGCTACTTCAGGGGCTGTTGCTATTAACTGGATTCTGAAGGTCGGTTCAATTTCTATCAACTTGTGATAAGTAACAATCATGTGTGATGTAAAAGTACTTTACTATTGATATTTATACTAAGAGATAGTGTATCTTGCACCATCAAAGGGGATTAATGTTGTATCTGCTCCTTTGACTTACCAGTAATGTGGAGCCATTAACTTGGTTTTGGTAAAGCATTTGACTCATACAGGCTGTATGGTATCAAAATAGACAGCACATGAGTGAAGATTTGAACTATGCCTGATCAATTGTATCACTGTTGTTTTATCTCCTAGATTCCCTGAGCTATAATCTGGGTTTTCTTAGTTTAGCATTCAGATTAGATTAGGGTTTTGCCTTAGTATTTTTGATTGGTAACTGAAATGTTATTGATATAGTGAAAAAAATGCTATTTACAACATTCCTTGCACCCCAATATATAGGCTGGTGGATACCCATCTAACTATTCAGCTATACAAAAATTACATTGAAGCCCAAAAGAATTGTTCCCTATTCACCCCTTGTTTAGCTAGAGCATCCACAAGGCAATTTTTTTGTTCTTTTTACTTAATTGTTTCTTCCAGTTCTCTAGCTAAGCATCTTATCCCTCTTAATATGTACCTCTATCCCCGCATAGATTGGCTGTCAATCCTGTCATTCCTCCACTTTTGAGTTCCCCTCTATCACAAGCTTCTTAGGGTTCAGTTGAGTAGAAATCTGCTGAATTAAAAAAATATGAAAGAAAAGTAGTTTCTTGAAGAGAGAAGGAAGAGAGAAGGAGAAGAAGAGAAGAAGAGAAGTTGAAAAGAAAAGAGAGCAATAATCTGGCCGCCCCCTTCACTTATTATTTATACTAAAAATAATAGAACAGTACAAAGACAACTATGCCCTTATAGGGCGGCAAAACATAAAACAGCATATATAATACTCTAAAACATAATAAAATTTGGACTCACATAACTACTGTGGTCCCCACCTCCTATCTAACAACTAACATAAAACATCTACTCAAAAAAACATCATAAAACTGATTAATCTTCAACAAGTTGCTTCGCTAGCCCCAGACCTTGCACAACAGCTGACAGCTCTGCCCTCATTTGATGGTGGTCTGACATCAGCAAGGCCTGTGCAAAATATTAAAACACCACTTTCTCGACTAGATTTTCACCAGAGCATCTAAAGTCATCAATCATCAGGTGGTAGGGTTTTCTGCAACTGCCTATTACCATCTGTATAGCCTGTTGACATCATTTGATGGTGTGCTGACATCAGCAAGGCCTGTGTGAGATATAGTGATTAGTAAAAGCTTCTCAATTGCCATGTGAATGCTCTAATACCAACTTGCAGTGATTTAAGAGGAGATTAAAGGTAGAGGAAAAATAAGGAAGAAGAAGAAAAGGAAAGGAAGAGAAAAAGATTAAGTGTCGACCTAATCAGTCATTGACCAAAGCATTGTTTTTACAAGAAATAAAATTACATAAATACCCTTACTTAACAGTAAGATTAATTCTGACATAGAGAAATAGCAGGAACACTGTTTGCTGAAGTACAGCAGTAGAAGAGAAGAGAAGAGAAGAAGCTTGTGAATGGGCGGCAACGTGTTCCCAGCCGGCCCTAGAAGCTATTGTATATATATTCACAATAAGATGTTATAGGAATAGACTAGAATGCTCCTGATTAGTGATGGGATACATAGATAACAGACTAAAGAACTGAAACATAAAAGATAAATAAGCCCACCAACACTTAACCACTCGAACCAACACTCCCCCTCAAGCTAAGTATGGATGTCAGTCATGTTTAGCTTGCCAAGTAAGCCTAGGAACTTCACTAAAGACAGTCCTTTTGTCAAAACATCAGCAACCAGCAACTCAGAGGGTGTGTAAGGCATGCAAAGTTTGCCCGAGGCAATTCTCTCTCTTACAAAGTGTCGGTCAATCTCAATATGCTTAGTTCTATCATGTTGTACTAGTTATTTGCAATGTTGATGCCATCCTTGTTGTCACAATACAGCTTGAGAGGACCATCAATCTTCATCCCAAGCTCACCAAGGAGGGTCCTAAGCTACAATAATTCTGCAACACCATGTGCCATAGCCCGATATTTCAGCTTCTGCACTTGATCTTGCAACCACATTTTGCTTTTTAGTTTGCCAAGTAACCAAATTCCCTCCAACAAATGTGCAATATCCAGACGTAGACTTCCTATCTCCAATTGATCTAGCCCAATTTGCATTTGTATATGCCTCAATTTCAATTTTATTGTGCTTTTTGAACAAAATTCCTTTCCCTGGACATGTTTTCAAATACTTGAGGATCCTTTCAATTGCTTTCATATGAGGAATCTTTGGAGAGTGCATGAACTGACTAACAACATGCACTGCATAAGCTATATCAGGTTGGGTAAGAGATAGATATATCAATTTTCCCACCAGCTTTTGGTATCTTTCTTTATCAAGGTAGTCCCCATCATACCTGTCTCCTTTAGAAGATCAAGAATATACTTCCTTTGGCATATATAAATGCTCTCTTGTGACTTTGCAACTTAAATTCCAAGGAAGTATCTCAGATGGCCTAAATCTTTGATCTCAAATTCAGATGCCAAGAATTCCTTCAATCTTTTTATCTCTTCTGGATCATTCCCTGTAATCACCATATCATCCACAGACTATAAGTGCTGTAAGCCCGTTACCCTGTTTTCTTATGAACAAGGTATGATCTGCACCATTCTGAGTGTATCCCACTTTCTTAATGGCCCCATAAAGCCTTTCAAACAAAGCTTGAGGAGATTGCTTAAGTCCATATAATGCTTTCCTTAGCCTAAATACCTTCCCATGAAAATTATAACTAGGTGGAGGATTCATGAATACCTTCTCATGTAGATCACCATTCAGGAAAGCATTTTTCACATTCAAATGATGTAGCTCCCATGAAAAATTTGCAGCTAATGACAATAGAACCTGAATTGTATTGTGCTTTGTAACTGGAGCAAAAGTCTCCTTGTAGTCAATTCCTTCCTTTTGAGTAAACCCTTTTGCCACAAGCCTGGCCTTATATCTTTCAATGGAACCATCCTCCTTGTGCTTTACAGTGAACACCCACTTACATCCCACAATGCTCTTCCCTTCTAGTAGATCCACTAATTCCCAAGTCCTGGCCTTCATTAAGGCTTTCATTTTGTCATTCATAGCCTCTCTCCATCTTGGGTCAGACGCTGCCTCTGAGTACCTAGTAGGAACGTGAATAGAAGAATGAGTAGACACAAAGGAATAATAACGAGGAGATAAACATGAATAAGAAACGTATTCAGCAATGGGGTGTCGAGTAGTACAAGAACGGGTAAGCTTATGAAGAGCAATGAGAAGATCCAAATCAGAAGTATGAGTGATAGGGTTACCGGGAACCATTGAAATAGATTGATTTGAGTCTGATTGGTTGTTGCCACAAGTTAGAGGATCTTTTTTACTTTTTCTGTAGGCATTTCTCATATCTTTCTGTTGTCTATTAATGTTATCAGTCACATCCTCAACATCAGGAGTAGTAATAGGTTCAGTGGGAGTTCCACTAGATTCACCTGGGCAGTCAGGAGCAATAACAGGTCCAGTGGGAGTCTCACTAGATTCACCTAGTTTTGTTTCTTCCAGATTTTGAAGGCTTAAAGGACTTTGAAGTTGACTTTTGGCGCACTCTGAAGGACTAGTTAGAAGTTGTTGGTTTTATGCTTTATGTACCATAAACTTTGTTTTTAGTGATAATTTTTCCTGCTTTTTGTATTTTCTTGATAGATTGACTCCTTGTCATCCGTTAAAGCTATACTCTCCTGTTAAGCAATATTTTTTTTGATCAATAAGGATAAATCTTATTAACTTCAAAATGAAGGTATTACAACAAGGTTGAAAAATTCTCCACCAAGAAAAAACTTTAGATTTTTGCCCAAAATATTTGTTGTCTTGCAATCTCTTCTTTAGCCAATGTGTTTGCCATCCCATTTGCTATTCTTCTCACCCATTTTTTGATCAATAATTTGCAACTTACATTAAAAAAGGAGAAATAGATACAGTGATACTGATTTAGGGAAATAAGCTCTGTTAACTCTCCCAACAAAGACAAAAAACAAAGAGCTGTTCTTCTCACCCATCTAAAAGCAACATTCATCTCCCTTGCTAAAGTTTCTATTTCCCGGATTGTGTAACTGTAAACCCATGGAATTTGGGTACTATTCCTTGTCCATGAGATAACCACTTGTGATTTTTTTTGATCGATAAATGCATTATTTCAATTCATTAATAGATCAAAAGTGTACAAGATAAAATACAAGAGAACGAAAGTTCAGTCTATTAGAATCCAATCTGCCTTTGAATTCTGTTAGAATAGTGACTGTTGAAATAAGAGAAAGAGGAGAAGAGGAAGAAGAAGAAGAAGAGAAGAGAATAAAGAGGGAGAGAAGTCTGGTTCGAACAAGAGAGAAAATCAGTCTCTCTCTAGTCGGCCAGATCTATTTGTGTATTTCTATTAATCAGAAAAGGACACCTTTGCCCCTACTTAAGTGAGGGACACATGTACTAACATAACTTTACACATCAGCAACTTAAACATAAACATAAAGACTAAAATACCCCTATACAGTCGACATTAGCACTCTCCCTCAAGCTGGTGAGTATATATCATATAATCCCAGCTTGTTACATATGTAGTCCACCCTTCCCTAACTCAACCCTTTGGTAAACAAATCTGCTCATTGGTTTCCCGTGTTAACATATGCAGTATCTTTCACTCCACTTAGCACCTTCTCTCACACAAAGTGACAGTCAACCTCTATATGCTTGGTTCTCTCATGAAACACCGAATTATAAGAGATATGGACTGCAGCCTGATTGTCACAGTAGAGTTTCATTGGAGTGTCAATAGTGTATCCTATCTCCTGTAGAAGGTTCCTCAGCCACACTAATTCACAAGTAGTATGTGTCGTAGCTTTATATTCTGCCTCTGCACTGCTTCTTGCCCCAATTGTCTGTTTCT